AAGGTCTCCAGCCAAGAAATGGAGGTTGCCAATCTGGAAAATGCCGACAATGCTGATAAGTATGACTAACTTCATCACACACCCAGCAACGAACATCACGGCCACGACCATGTCCTCACCCTTGTCCTTGGACTCAAGCAGCAGCAGCATCAACCTCCATTAGAACAGGACCATCACCCATAGGAAGTGGGGCTGAAGGACGTGCAGCGAGAAGTGGAAGAGGCAATGTCTCATAACATTGTGCCAAGCGAAGAGCATCATCAAGGGTGGCGGGAGCAAGTGCATGCACAAGTCCGACAAAATCTTGACGAAATGCTGGCCACAACATTCCAAGCTTAATCCGCTCCGACATATTTGTCTCCGCACAAAGCAAAAGACTTCGGAAACGAATGCCAAATTGCATCACTGTCTCAAATGGCCATTGGTGAAGACGATGCAATTGTTAGAAGGTATCATCACAATCATTGGCATGTTCAAAAGCACGTTTGAAGATGTCTGGGAGAACATTCCAATCTCCACGAGTGGCTGCGCTCAAACTATTGTACCACTGCAACGCCGTCCTTTTGAGATACGTGGGAAACTCATGTAAACGTCGAGCATCATCCCAAAAATGATATGTGGCAATCACCGTGAAGTGATCGAACCAATGGTACACATCATCCCTAGGATTCCCGCGAAAGAATTCCGGCCGAACGTAAGGATTGGCACCAAGAGCAGGAGAAGTTGTACCACATGCCGTGAATGCCACCATCAATTAAGTTTGGTTGTTCAATTACAAATGCATAACATCAAACAATTGTATCTACTACTGCTCTAGAGTTAAAGGAGGAGATTGTTAATTTGCCATAAAGACGAACAAAGAAAGAGCAAAAGAAGAAAAATGACAAAAAGCTAAAAGGAAATTGTAGATCTAGACAATTGAAAAAGCTAGATCTAAACCAAAATCCTAAGAAGAAAGAACAAAAAAAAGGAGATGGGAAAAGTTAGATTTAGACAATGCAAAAGTTAAATCTAAACCAAAATCCCAAATCCAAGCACTCTTCAGCGATAATCAAAAGTGCCCCTCAACTCCACCAATGTTAGTGCTTGGAATATGAAAAGGGAATACAGAAAATATGCATATTAATTAACCCAAAAACTGTAATTTATATACAAGAGCAAATAGTCTAGATTAAAACTAATCCGACAGCTACCAAAATCCCACTACAATAATATTAGGATATAGCATCATAGCCGTAAATTTGGCCCTCACAATATTAATTTTATTATAAAACATTTATTGACAAATACAAATTTGTAAAATAAGAAATAAGAACCAACATTGTGTCGTGGACGTCCATGACCACCAAATGGATTCCCTGCAAAAGCCACAGCATGGCATGAGACCCATCAACGAAGTCAGGCTTCTCTCCATCTCTAGCCTCGGTGAGGGTCAATGGAGCTCCATAACATTGGCTCTGGAGCAGCATGGTAGATCTACTGGGACAGTCAGGCCGGAAGTAAGCAAATTAACGATGGCATCGTGGTCACGAAACAAGGTATTTTCTTTTCTTAAGCCTACCTTAACCGCTAGCTCATGCTCGAGACTTAACTTTCATCTTCTTACGGGCATCCATTTTCTCTTGGATGCCGCTATCTTCCATTTTCATGATTGCAACTCGTTTTGCTTTGTAGACCTTGGTAATGTTCTTCAGCACGTCCGCTTCACTGACTTCGTATTCCTCCAGCTTCTTCCCGAGAAAGGACTCCACTTCGTGTACCAGCTCAACGTCAAGCTGCGCAAACCGAGCAATTAAACTCCAGGCGACCAGAAAAGCAAATCCAAACCTCGGTTACAAGAGAGATCGCACGTCCACCACGCCCAGCACGCGCAGTTCGTCCGACTCTATGGACGTAATCCTTAGTAAACCTGCAAGACATACGAGCTTCAGCGATGAGCAGCGATCAAGGAGAGAAAAGAACCTCGGAATATCGTAATTCACAACTAGATCCACGGTTGGAATGTCCAGGCCTCGACTGGCAACATCGGTTGCAATCAGGATTGTTGCCTGCCCGGATTTGAACTGATTCAGAGCCGCCAATCGCTGGGGCTGCGTCTTCACTGAATGTAGAGCCACGGCAGAGATGCCAAGCTCGTCCAGTATCAAGCTTAGTAAATGGCACGTCCTGCGAGAGAGAAAAAAAAATTCCACAAAGTGAAAACCCAATGCTAGAACTTAAACGAATCTTTTTTTTTATTTTTTATGCGTACCTGCAGCGGGACACAAAGATGATAACCGAGCGTATGTCTTCCAGTTCGAGGTTCTCCAGAAGATACGTGAGATAGACGTTCTTTACCTTCCCCGGCATGAAAATATACCTTTGGTCGAGAGACTCCACAGTCTTGAGCCCCTCGTATGCCTGGTAGAAGAAGGCCCTGTGGCCAAACAGGTCTCGCAGCGCCTGAAGATCCCCAGTCATGGTGGCCGAGAAGAGCAGTGTTTGGCGCTGCTTGGAGATGCCATCGAAAATGGTCTGCAGCTCGTCTTGGAACCCGCGATCAAGCAGCAAGTCTGCCTCATCAAGCACCAAAAACTGGAATGAGAGAAAGAATGAAAGCCGTGAAAGGAGATGAAAAGAAAAAAGTGAAATGAGCTGAGCTCTCACCTTCGTTTTGGAGAAGGCGGCAGCGATGTCTGGATCACTGCCAATATGAGCTTTGATCCTTCCCGGCGTCGCGATCACAACGTGAGGCCTTTCCATCAAAATCTGTGCTTGCGTGGTCATGTCCATGCCACCCACAACCACAGCACAGCGCAAATGAACTCCAGCGCCCAGCGCCTTGAACTGATCGGAGATTTGGAAGGCGAGCTCGCGAGTGGGGGTCATGACGAGCGCAAAGATCCCGTATGGGTTCTCTCCCAGCCGCTGGAGAATCGGCAGCGCAAATGCGGCCGTCTTGCCACTTCCAGTCTGCGCCATGCCCAAGACATCCTTTCCCTTGAGAATCTGCGGCACACAAGCCCTCTGGACCGGCGTGGGATGGCGCATACCTAGCTCCTTGCAGGCGCCGACGAGCCATTCCGCCACCCCCAGCTCCTCAAACGATCCACCACCGCCGCCGCCCTCTGGAGCATCCGATTCCTTGCAAATCTCGGTGGAACGCGCATTGCCATCATCTGGGCGTTCTGCTGCTGGCACCGGATCGCCGCGCTTGCGCTTCTTCTTCTTCAGTGCCGCCCTGGAGAAGAGAGGCGGTCCCTCCATCAAGAACCCTAAATCTTTTTTTTAAGTGATCAAACACTCCTTTTAAGTTTTAGTTGCATTTCCTAGATTTCTTTTTGGAAAGAGCTGCAAACTCCTAGAAGGCATCCAAGTAGCTTCTTGTAGCTCCATCGCACCTCAACCTGAATGAAACGTTCATGGCTTATTTGGATTGAAAATTAACAAGGTAAAACATCCCCTGCTCAAAACACTTTGATTTCTTCCATGGAGACTGCCCTTCCTAGCTCGATGGATTTTTGCGCCGCGACGCCGATGGCCACCGAGAGGAGTCCATCGTCCAGGCTCACAGCAGGTGGTTTCTTGCCGTGGGACTTTATCGCAGCTAGGAATTCCAGGTGCTCCAAGTAGCTTGAGCCGTGATGAAGGCCCTCGTATCTGTGTGAGCAGCGAACGGCTGTGAGTGAGCTCAATGCGTACAAAAAGAAAAAACTAGATTTTTACCTGACTCTGCTGTTGAAGACTTTGATGGTTTCTACGTTTTGCCTGCCGCCGCTCCTGCTCCCGATCCGGACAGTGTTGTCTGGAACGAATGCTTCCACCTTGTAGAGGAATGGTTTTCTTCTTGTAAACTTTGAGGAAAAGGAAAGCTATAGCGAAAAACTAGTACCTTGCCAGCGTTTCCAGTCACGCAAATCTCTTGCTCGTTCTGGCCGCCTTCGGCAAACATGCAAAGATCCAGCATGCTCCGTGCGCCGCTGCTGTAGTCGACAATCACGTAGGCGTTGTCAATGATATCTGGAACCTGTTCACGGTGTGTCAGGAAGGGCGGGGCAAAAATGAAGTTTTTCGGTACCTTGCCATCGTAGACTTCATCCAAGTGATTTACATCTTGACCTCCGGAGGCCATCACGCGAACTGGCTGGCTTCCTATGATGAGATTCATTAAGTCGAAAAAATGGCAGCATTTCTCTACTAATGTTCCACCCGAGTTTTTGTTGAATCGATTCCAGTCATGAACCTGTGAGCATAGCGGCACCATTGTTTATCGGCCACATGCAAGTATAAACAGGAACTTACCTTTACAAGGAACGGAAAGCGGTGCTCACGAATTGCCACCATTTTGACTGTGCCAACTCTCCCCAATTTAACTTCCTTGATCAGCCTTGCAATCGGTGGCATGTATCTGTATTCCAATCCGACTTGCAGCAAGATATCTGGACGACTCTTTGCAGCTTCGAGTACCTAAACAATAGATCGAAGGCAGGAACCAATCAAGCAAAGGAAAACTGATAGAGACCTCCTTGCAATCCGCCACCGTTGTACATAGTGGCTTCTCCACCAAAACGTGATGCGTCCTGTGGTGGCTCAAAATGTCCAAAAGGATCCTCGCGTGCGTCATGTTGGGTGTAGAAACAATCACAACATCACAGCCTCCACTGTCGAGTAATGCCTTGTGATCCTCGAACACCTGAACCCGTACTTCTCATGAGAGCAAAAGAGAGAAAGAAAACCATTTTCACCTGAAGAGTGTGCCCTCTCTGAATAGAATTCGCAATCTTCACAGCGGCTTGCCTGGACGGCTCGAAAGGATCGGCGATTGCCACAACTTCAGCCCCTTCCACCACTGCCAAGTTGAGTATATGCTCTCGTCCCATCATCCCGACCCCAATGATACCATACTTGATCACGCCTGGCGTCTCACACCATGCCGCCATCTCGAAAACCTTTCTCCTGACCAGGTACAATGAATGTTCTTCCAAGAAAATGGCATATTTTTCTCACTTATGCTTATCCGCTTATTATAACTTTTTACTTTGATCACCGTTTTGGAAAAAACCTCTGTATATGAGAAAACGCAAGCTGTTACAATGAAACTGAAGCACTCACGTTTACGAGGCTATGTCAAATCGTCTTCTTCCAATCCTTCTGCTGCTGCCTCTCCTCCCGCGCCACTAGATTCCGCTAAGTGCGATATATCACCGACGGGAAGCTGTTTTGCGAGCCGGATGATCTACGCAAGTACAAAAAGGTAAAGGATCAGTGGAGATTGTAAAGTTTACAGTACCATGTGATCCAAATGATTTATAACACCGCTCGATTTTACGACGTGCTTCACTTCCTCTGGGTTTCCTTCCCGGTATGCGTTTAGCAGCTGCTCCGCAAACCTGTTTTGTTCGCTTTGGAAATATGCATCTATCCTGCAAAACGAGGAGATTCGAGCGGTTGGTTCTTTCCCGAGAATCGCCACTGTACTTACATGGATAGATCATTTTGACATTGCTCGGCCTGCTTGAAGTCTTGAGCGTACAAGTAGACGATAACAGCACCCACGCATGTCTAAAAACACAAAGGCTGAATCTAAGAAATCAAGAAAGGCAAACATACCTTGCATTGCGTCGATGTCGCTTTGCATTTATCAGCGGATTGGCCCCATCTTAGCAACATAGTTGCAGCATCTGTATACCTGAGATTGCAAGTCTTTTGTTCAGGAAAACTAAGCCACACAGTGATCATACCTCTGCAGCTTTATGTACAAACTTGTTGCAGAACGATATGTATCAAACGCCATTTGCTCTCGTTGCTCCTCCTCAAAAATCCCAACCGCTTCAAGGTACATCTTCACGGCTTCGTCAGGCAAGCCATCCTCCAAAGCTCTGGAATTACCGATCCAAAAACTATTAAGAACCAGCATTTTAGAGTTTGATGTGAGTACCTTCCACCCCTCGAGAGTGCTTCCGCTGCCGGCTGAGGCTTTCCAGATTCTATGTAGAGCTCACTCGCTCTTCTGAAAAAGTCCGCCACCTCGTTCCATAATCCAAGCTCTTTCGCGAGAGCTCCAGCGCTTTCCATATGCTTTCCCGCGTGCCAAGGCCTTTCCGAGTTTCCTAAGCGTCAAGGATGACAAAGGGATATCATAGAAGAAAACGAACTCTCGAGGAGTAAGTTTTTTGGATACGAAGCAAGACGCTCTTGTCCCATTGCTGCTCTCTCATGCGCTTCCTTGGCCTTCTCAGTCTTCTTGGCAATCTTGAACAGATTCGCTACCAGCAAGAGGAAGAAGAAGAATTAAACATAGATCACAAAAATGTGGGTAAGAAGCTCTAGTTCTCTAGCTATGGTCTCACCGGCTTGTTCGTAATACGGGGTCGCTCGAGCCCAATCCGATGTCCATCGCGTCAAGCTCAGCTTCGTCCTGCCGATCAAGCACGAGAAAATTTAGGTCCGGGAATCGCTCGAGGAAGAAGGAAGCACTCACAGCTTGTCGCCCTTGCGCATCATCCTGTCCGGATCATTCTCCTTATCGCGGTGCTTGATGTCTCCCATGGCCACAAGATCGAGATCCCCGCAAGAGAGCTTCCAATCACGCCGAGTAGAGCGCCGATCCGCGACGCATTCTAGCGCGAGCAAGAAGAAAGCCCTAGGAGGAGAAGAAAGAGATTTTAGGTCATATTGGGAGAGAAGAATGCGCTTCTGGGATCGCCGCGCCTCGGCCTGGATCGTCTAGATCGATGCAAGAATCGGCACTGTTGAAGCTCCAGCAGCGCTCGGGTGTGATCGCACTCAACAAGATCGCCGCAGCGTATGCCCACGCTGGGCATCTGGCCGAGTCGATCGAATCCCTGGAGAGAATGCGCGAGGAGGGCCTGGCGCCTGACAGGGGCACATTCCTGGCGCTGCTGGGCCTGTGTGCTAAGAAATCCGCAATCGCCGAAGGGAGATTCGTCCATTCCAGGGTCGAGGCGAGCGAATTTCGTCGCGACGATCTCGTCCAGAACGCCACGATCCACATGTATGGCAAATGCGGCTGTGTGGAGGATGCGGTGACGGTGTTCCAAAGCTTGGATCATCCCTCACAGGTATCGTGGAATTCTCTTCTCGCTGCTTTCGCTAGAGATGGCCAGTTCCAGCAGGCTTTCCAAATTTTCCAGAGGATGAAGCTCCAGGGGCTAGCTCCGGACAGGATCACGTTCGTCACGGTGCTGGATGGATGCACTGCCACTGGCGATCTCTCTCGAGGTAAGCTTCTTCACGGCTTTGTTCTTGAGGCTGGGCTTGAGAGGAATGTGATGGTTGGAACTTCTTTGATAAAAATGTATGGAAAATGTGGTTGTGTGGAGGATGCTAGAAGAGTCTTTGACAAGCTTGCACTGCAGGACGTTGTCTCGTGGACCTCGATGATCATGACTTACGTCCAGCATGATCGGTGTGTGGAAGCTCTCGAGCTCTTCCATCGAATGAGACCATCGGGAGTTCTTCCCAACAGGATCACGTATGCTACAGCCATCAGCGCTTGCGCTCACGTCGAGTCTATGGCCGATGGTAAGCTCATTCACTCGCAGGTTTTGGAAGATGGTTTTGAGTCGGATGTTGTTGTCAGCTGTGCGATCGTCAACATGTATGGGAAGTGCGGAAGTCTCGAGGATGCTCGAGAGGTTTTCGAGAGAATGCCTCATCCCAACACGGTCTCCTGGAACGCCATTGTAGCAGCTTGCACGCAGCATGGTTGTTGTGTGGAGGCACTCTGGTACTTCCAACGCATGCAGCTTCAAGGTGTCAGGCCAGATAAGATTGCCTTCGTTACCATCTTGACTGCCTGTTCTGATTCTCTTCTCTTACACGCAGCCAGGGCCATCCACGCTCAGATTTTTGAAACGGGACTTGATCGAGGTGACGATGCTGTAATCACCGCTTTGCTCAACGTATACTCCAAGTGTGGGAGCTTAGAGGACACACGCTTCACGTTTGAAAGAATTGGAGACTGGAAGACTGTGAACTCGTACACGAGGATGGTCGGGGTTTATGTCCAGCATGGATTCTGGGAGGAAGCTTTCAAGCTCTTCCGAGAGATGCAGCTGGAGGGGAGTACTCCGGACAAGGTCACCTTCATCACTATCCTCAACGCTTGCTCCAGTCCGGCTACTCTAACTTTCGGCGAGCTTCTTTACGAGTGCATTCTTCAGTGTGGCTACGACACGCACTTGATCGTCGGCAACTGCATCATGACGATGTATAGCAGCTGTGGGAGAATCGACAATGCAGCAGCATTTTTCAGCACCATGGTCGAAAGGGACGCTATCTCCTGGAACACCATTATATCAGGACACGCACAGGCTGGTTTTTGCGACGAGGCAGTCCACCTTTTCAGAAGGATGCTGGCCGAAGGGATCACTCCTGACAAGTTCACGTTCATCAGCATCATTGACGGAACTGCTCGGATGCAAGAAGCCAAAATTTTGAGCGAGCTGATGGTTGAAAGTGGAGTGGAGCTGGACGTGTTTCTCGTCTCAGCTCTCATCAACATGCACAGCAGATATGGCAACGTTCGAGAAGCTCGTTCACTCTTCGACGACATGAAAGACAGGGACATAGTTATGTGGACTTCGATAATCTCGTCCTACGTCCAGCATGGGAGCAGCGACGACGCTCTCGGTTGCACGCGACTTATGAGACTCGAGGGGCTCATGGGGAACGATTTTACGCTGGTCACAGCTCTCAACGCTTGCGCCAGCTTGACAGCACTATCAGAAGGCAAGCTTATCCATTCTCACGCGATCGAGCGGGGCTTCGCGGCGAGCCCGGCAGTCGGGAACGCTCTTATCAACATGTACGCGAAGTGTGGCTGCCTCGAAGAAGCAGACCTGGTTTTCCACCAGTGCGGCAAAAATCTGGTTTCCTGGAACACCATCGCTGCTGCTTACGTTCAACGCGACAAGTGGAGAGAAGCTCTCCAGTTATTCCAAGAGATGCAGCTCGAGGGCCTGAAAGCAGACAAGGTAAGCTTCGTGACAGTTCTCAACGGGTGTTCGAGTGCCAGCGAAGGAAGCAAGATCCACAACATTCTCTTAGAGACAGGGATGGAGTCGGATCACATCGTCAGCACGGCACTATTAAACATGTACACGGCAAGCAAGAGCCTGGACGAGGCAAGCAGGATTTTCAGCAGGATGGAGTTTCGAGACATCGTCTCCTGGAACGCGATGATAGCAGGGAAAGCCGAGCACGGGCTGAGCAGGGAAGCCATCCAGATGTTCCAGAGAATGCAGCTGGAAGGCGTGGCGCCGGACAAGATCAGCTTCGTCACGGTGCTCAACGCCTTCTCCGGATCGTCGCCGTCCTCGCTCAAGCAAGCCAGGCTGGTGGAGAAACTTATCAGCGATCAAGGATACGAGACGGACACCATCGTCGGCAACGCGATCGTCAGCATGTTTGGCCGCTCGGGAAGGCTGGCCGAGGCAAGGCGAGCTTTCGAGAGGATCCGCGAGCGAGACGCTGCGTCGTGGAACGTGATCGTCACAGCCCACGCTCAGCACGGCGAAGTCGAGCAGGCTCTCAAGCTCTTCCGGAGAATGCAGCAAGAGAGCTCCAGGCCGGACAGCATCACGCTCGTCAGCGTTCTCTCGGCGTGCAGCCATGGTGGCCTGATCGAGGAAGGCTACTACCACTTCACGTCCATGGGCAGAGAGTTTGGGATCGCTGGCAGCCAGGAACACTACGGCTGCGTCGTGGATCTGCTCGCGCGAGCCGGGAGGCTGGATCAAGCGGAAGAACTCCTGCGAAAGATGCCAGTCCCGGCGAGCTACGTGCTGTGGATGACGCTCCTCAGCGCTTGCAAGGTCCAGGGCGATGAGAAGAGGGCCAAGAGAGTGGCGGAGAGGGTCATGGAGCTGGATCCTCGCCGCCCGGCCGCCTACGTTGTCCTCTCCAGCGTTTGATCATCCGCAATGACGTGGCTGACACATCGGCTAAGAAGTCCAGGTGGCCAGGTGAGCTGGCCACCTAGCGGTCAGCATTGGAGGCTTTGCGGGAGCAAACAAAAGGAAATACGAGCGCCTAGGTTTGGAGGAGGCAGGAGGAGCTATGGCGGCAGCGCTAGCGCCCGCGGCATTGATCCGAGGAGCTGCCACCACGGCGAGCGATGGCCCATTCGCGGCGGCGACGTCGTCGTCCTCCTCGGCTTTGTTTGCCGCGAGATCGTCGTCTTCCAGGTTCGCGCAATTCGCACTGCGGTGCTCCTCCGCCGCGGGGGTTGGCTGTGGCCGGAGGGCTGTGCTCAAGGTAGCAGCTGCACAGGTGCTCCAAGATGTGCATTTGAGCGAGGAGGCGAGAATGGAGGTCGTGGATGTGGATTTGAGCGATCGCACCTATCCAATCTACATCGGATCTGGTCTTCTAGACAAGCCAGAGCTTCTCCAGAAGTACGTGAATTCTCTGTTCTCTCTTTCTCTCTTTCCAGTTCTCTCAGAAAAACCGATCTTTCTCTACAGACATGTGAAAGGAAAGAATGTGTTGGTGGTGACGAACACGACCGTGGCACCATTGTACCTGGAGAAAGTAGTCGGGCTTCTCAAGGCAAATGGTTCCAAGATAAATGTGGAGAGCGTTATCCTGCCGGATGGTGAGAAGTATAAGGACATGGTGCGTGGTTTGGTTGCTCTTTCTCGTTGTTCACCTTCCTTTCCTTCTCTTTCCAGGGAACTTTGATGAAAGTTTTTGACAAAGCGGTGGAGACCAGAATGGATCGAAGGTGTACGTTCGTGGCACTGGGAGGAGGAGTGATTGGAGATATGTGTGGGTTTGCTGCTGCGGCTTTTCTCCGCGGTGTGAATTTTATTCAGATTCCAACGACGCTCATGGCTCAGGTAACTTGTTTTCTAGAACCTAGTTTGTGGAAAGTCACAAGATTTTTCTTTCCCAGGTTGATTCGTCAGTCGGAGGGAAGACCGGTGTAAATCATCCGCTTGGCAAAAATCTCATTGGTGCATTTTACCAGCCTCAGTGCGTGGTTATCGACACGGATACTCTTAGCACGCTTCCAGAGAGAGAGCTCTGTTCTGGAATTGCTGAAGTCGTCAAATATGGTTTGATCAGAGACGCGAAGTTTTTCGAGTGGCAAGAGGAAAACATGGACAAGCTGTTGGCCAGGTGACTTTGTTCTCGATTGGCTACCTCGTTTGTGACATTCAAATCATCAGGGACCCGGATGCTCTTGCTTATGCCATCAAGCGTTCTTGTGAGAACAAGGCAGAGGTTGTATCGCTTGACGAGAAGGAAGCCGGTTTGAGAGCTACATTAAATCTTGGGCATACGTTTGGACATGTAAGCTATCTCTCCCTCGTTTTCTTTTTCTTTCCTTTCGATGCTTAGCTTTTCCTTGCAGGCTATAGAAACAGGAATTGGCTACGGTGGTTGGCTGCACGGAGAAGCCGTAGCTGCTGGCACGGTAATTCCCAAACTTCGATTTATTGCCTCATCATTCATATGTTTATCTTCGCAGGTAATGGCTGCGGATCTCTCATTCCGTCTGGGATGGATAGACGCTTCTCTTCAGTCTCGGATCCTAAACTTGCTAGAGCGTGCGAAAGTTCCAGTGGCACCCCCCAGCACAATGACAGTCGAAAAGTTTCAAAACATAATGGCGGTATGCAGCTTCGTTTTTCTAGAGCACAGCGTTTTTCACCAAGAAGCTTGGTTTTGTTTCTTCGTACAGGTAGACAAGAAGGTTGTGGACGGCGATTTGAGACTCATACTACTCAAAGGCGAGCTTGGAAATTGCGTGTTTACTTCGGCATACGATACCAAAGCTCTTGAAGAAACACTGCATTCCTTTTGTTCCTCATAGATTACTTCGAAGGGCCACACATCGTATGTTTGTTATACACGCAAATTTTGCTGCTATTGTCCCCGTGGAGAAACTCGTTCAAGCTTCTAACCCACGCGTCTTTGACCACTCTCGCGGAGCTCCTTTCGGGGCTACCAATCCTTTTCTTCAAATGGCAGTGAAACAACTTTGATGGCTCGCTATTTACCCATGTTGTTCACATGCTCGTTCTCTGGAATAAAAAAACCAAAAAGTAGCCAAGTTAAAAAAAACTAAAATGTGTGTAGCATGTAGAGTTTAAGGGATCGACATTGTTCTCCAATCGGTTTTCTGGGATCTGCTACCCTCACACGTTTTTCCGTTTCGCCCCCTCTCGATGGCTGTGAAGTCGAGCTCCTCGGGAGGACTAAAGCCAGCTCGGCAGATGCATTCAGTGCTGGGCACTGTTTTGACAAGCAGGATATTGAGTCCGTCTGTGGGACTTTTGTTTCCCCACCGTTTTTTGAGGATGAAGGCTTCTCTTGCTGTACACCACCCTTTGTCATCTCTAACACAAACGTTGCAGATCTGGAAGCTGTTGAGGCAGACACGAAGGGTTTCTTTCTCCTGCCATGCTCACCTATTTCCAAGTCTCCACTCTGGAACCTTTTGTTGCTACTTTCTCCTATCCGGGACTGGATCGTTTCCTGAAGAATGCACATGAAGACCTCGTGGAGGGTGTTGCAGACCATGAGTTGTGGGAGAGGTATGGCAGATAGATAGCACAACAGTGGTATTCACGTGGATCAAAGTTGATCTTCAAGATTTCGACTCTAGTGGAGGTCCTATTATTCCATCTACTTTTCCAGGTATTGCTTCTAGCTTTTATCTTCTTCTTTTTTCTAGTTATGTTTTTAACACATTTTGCACAGGATACCTCGCTGGTATTCACGATGGCGGAAAGAAGCAAGAGGAGCTTCAATTGTGGAATATTGATGCTTACCACAAGTTTGTGCTTCTGCATTTGCCTCCTCTTGGGATACAAGGGCATTCGAGTGGTGGTTGGCCAAGCAAAAAACGAAAATCAGAGTGCAGCTAAGTAGTTATTTCCACGTGGTAGTAATTTTATGGTTCATATATCCTTATGGTGCATGTCTCTACATTGCTTTCATCGTATTGGATAAGACGATGACACTTACTTGTGAGGAAGAGGAGGATAAGTTACCTTGGCGATTGGATTGGATACTGCAAAGAGGGTGCTAGGTCCAGAGGCAAGGTTGTCCAAAGGTGCTGAGCAACAAGTCAAGCAGTAGAGAAGTAACAACAAGCAGCAGAGAAGTATGAAGCCAATGGGAGATTTCGTCAAGATCATACATAGCAAACAGGAATTCCCAGCAAGAGGGCAAGATGCTTGTGGCCAGTAGCAGGTGTAGGAGGTGGCACATCTATGGCCAAGACCATGTAGATTTGCCTCTTCTAGAGCATGGACCTCAAGGGCGTTTGCACGAATCGATTGGTGATCCTAGTGGCAAGATTCATCATAGCAAGTGAGCAAGGAGTGTGTGCAAGCAACCCAAAGACCTAAAGGAAGTTGCTTGATGAGCTTCTCATATGCTTTTCTCATATAAGTTTCTCATGCTTCATCATCTAGGCATGATTCAGGCTTTGATCAGATGCCTGATTGCAAGTGGGAGTGCTAATAGTAGATAATGTAGCATGTAGCAGGCAGTCGCCAGTTCTTTATACATAGTACCTACTGGTTCTAAAGAGTCTTTCTTGTGTGCTGTCTCTCACTTGCTTTCAACAATATTTTGCTCATGCACAAGAACTAAAGAATGTTGGTGTATATTCTAGCTCATTCTAATCTTATTTATAGTTTAATGCTCAATTACTGGACAATAGCACCAATTTAAGGCCAAAGTTTGATTGTATAACTTGTTTCTTAAGATGTTATGATTTTAAGCTAATGTGTAAGATAAAGACTAAACATTTTGTCTGTCAAAAAAGATGATCCAAAACTTTCTTTCGTGGTGCTATTAATATTTTTATTAAGTTTTGGCAAATATTCTCTTAATAAACTGATTGTTATAATAACATATTATTTAAAATACACAAACAAGGTTTTGTAAAACAGAAATTTTTTTTTAACAGATTGGATGGTTAGGATTACTCTGGACGTGGTCACCCTCAACGCTTGATACTCTTTATCTTTTGGTGAGCTTCGAGTGCATTCTTCAGTGTGGCTACCACTCACACTTGATCGTCAGCAATTGCATCATGACGATGTATAGCACCTAGGATGCTGGCCGACTCCTGACAAGTTCACGTTCACCGATGAACATTGGAAGTACCAAATAGTTGTTTTCTAGAACAGTTTATGGAACGTTTCTTCTTCCCAGACGAGACAGTGTGAATCATCCCTTGGCAAAAGCCTCATTGGTGCATTTTACCAGCTTATTGACATGGATTAGCACAGTTCCAGTTAGAGCTCTGTTCTGGGATTGCGGAAGTCGTCAAATATGGTTTGTTCAGAGATGCGAAGTTTTTCGAGTACAAGCCGTTGGCCAGGTGACTTTTTTTTCGATTGGCTCGCTCGTTCGTGACATTCAAATTATCAGGGACCCGAATGGGAAGTGTATTTCCACGAATGAGAAAATGAACTGCACCTCCGGGTGACACTACGACACAATGCTCTAATAATCATGTGGTACATCAGGCAAATGTGACAAAATGTTGCGAGACAAGGCCTCCCCGCCGTCAGGAATATAGAAGTAAGCTCCCGGGAGGTATAAATTCGGCGCAGCATCAGAGCCCTGTACCAGCTTGTTGAAGGACAAATCGGCCACCGAATACTTGAACACATTTCTGTCTCCAGTTATCCAAAAGAGGTCATAGTCATCAGACACCACCTCGGGCAACTCAGGGCTCAGGATGTTGGCTGCGTCTAGCCGCGTCAGAAGCTCCACCACCTTTCCCTTATCAGCCAGTAGCTCATACAGTCTTGGAGTGTCGAATCCCCTGCCCTCTCGTAGCTCTTCTTCCTGGTCAAACACCTTAAGGCTGTACATGAGGGTCTTGCCTCGCCATTCCACCACCTTTTGTTCTGTCCCGAACTCGAATTTGCGGGCAGATTCACGGCTCAGGTGCATCTTGTCCCACACTCCACGCCTCAGATCCAGCTTGTAAATATCATCAAACACGTAGTCATGCCCATGCGTCAACTTTTTGAAGAGCCTGTAGCAGCCGCCCCTGATTAAGACGATATATATAGCTAATAGTAGATAATGTAGCATGTAGCAAGTAGTCCCCAATTCTTTCTATATGCAGTACCTAGTGGTTCTAAAGAGTTTTTCTTACGTGCTATCTCTCACTTGCTTTCAATAACTTTTCGCTCGTGCACAAGAACTCTATGCTCTTGTATAAGAACAAACTCCATATATATTATAATTTATAAACTTTTTCAAATCCCTTCTAGCTTATTCTAATCTTATTTATAATTTATAAACTAATGCTCAATTACTGGACAATAGATTAATATAACTTTTTTCTTAAGATTTTATGATTTTAAGCTAATGTGTGAGAGAAAAACTAAACATTTTGTCTGTCAAAAAAATGATCAAAAACTTTTTTGGTTGTGCTATTAATATTTTCTATTAATATTAAGTTTTGGCAAATATTTTCTTAATAAACCAATTGTTATCATAATATATATTATTTAAAATACACAAAAAAGGTTTTGCACAGAATTAAAAAAGAAAACAAATTTTACCATTAGAGGACACACTGGACAAGGCCACTATCCTCAATGCTTGCTCTATCTTGTGTGGCTACCACTCACACTTGATAGTTAGCAATTGCATTATGACGATGTATAGCGCCTAGGATGCTGGCCGACTCCTGACAACTTCACGTTCATCGATGAACGTTGGAAGTACCAAATAGTTGAACAGTTTGTGGAACGATCCTTTTTCCCAGTTTGGAAGACCAGTCAGTGTGAATCATCCCTTTGGTGCATTTTACCAGCTTATCGACACGGATTAGCACACTTCCAGGTGACTTTGTTTTCGATTGGCTCGCTCGTTCGTGACATTCAAATTATCAGGGACCCGGATGCTCTTGCTTATGCCATCAAGCGTTCTTGTGAGAACAAGGCAGAGGTTGTATCGCTTGACGGGAAGGAAGCTAAATCTTGGGCATATGTTTGGACATGTAAGCTCTCTCTCCCTAAATTTTCTTTTTCTTTTCCAGTCGATGCTTCTAGGCTATAGAAACAGGAATTGGCTACGGAGGTTGGCTGCACGGAGAAGCCGTAGCTGCTGGAACTGTAAGTGCCAAAACTTCGAATTTTTGCTTCCTAATGGCTGATGGATAGAGACTTCTCTTCGGCCTCGGATCTTAAATTTGATAGAGCGTGAAAGTTCCAGTTGCACCCCCCCAGCACAATGACAGTCGAAAAGTTTCTGGAGCTTCGTTTTCCTAGAGTAGAGCAAGAAACATGGTTTTCTTCTTTCCTACTGCTAGAGAAGATGGTTGTGAACGGGGATTTGAGACTTATACAACTCAAAGGCGAGCTTGGAAATTGCATCAAGCTTCTAAGCTATGCGTCTTTCACCACTCTCGCGGAGCTCGTTTCGGGGCTACTAACATATGCGTAGTCCTTTTCTTCAAATGGCAGTGGAACTACTTTGATTGCTCGGTATTTACCCACGTTGTTCACATGCTCGTTCTCCAAGCTTTGATCACAGAGAAATCAAATAAGTAAACTCAAATAAGTTAATAAAATACTTACCGGAATACGTTCCACATTCCCCGCCTACAAATCTCAAAGGCTGCCAAGATGAATTCCAAACCGAAGCTTTTAGTCGCACCCAACTCCAGGTGGAATAGCGAGAATAACCACAGCAACCTGAGCAATGTGTTTATAAGCTGTGTGTGCAAAACCACAGTTAAAGCTAAGATCACAACAACGAAAAATTCTTACCATGCAACTGTAGTAGAGTGACTTGCGCTCAAACATGAGCTTGTCCCGAAGCCACCGGTTCGATGCCTTTTTTTGTAAAAGCCCCCAGTCCATGACAAGGTCCCAGTAGAGCTGATAAGCAGTAGCACAGAGCGAAGACAGCACAAACATGGATTTCCATGCCGCTGTTCCACTCCACTTGTACGTGATTTTAATAACCATCGCAACCATAGCGCTCAGGTACTTGCCGGCGTTTGCAAGATGAACGGGATCCCGCAGGTCCACCCATCTTCTCAAGCTCTGAAATCGAGAACTTTGAGAGCGCTCACTTTCTTTTAAAGACGGGGAAGATTACCTGCATAAGACGCCACCAGTATGCTATCAGCACGAGAGGGTACTGCAGCGCAAACTTGGAGGTGCAAGACTCTCCATTGCTGGATTCGTAGTTGTTTCCACCGTAGTAGCAGAGAGTAAACCCGAGGTTCTTTAGAGCAGTGACCTACAAAGAAAGGCAAGCGGTTATGTTTTCGATGAGCAGAGTCGCACACCTGGCTTGTAAGTTGGTCCGCAAGGAAGAAATCCGCAAGCTCAACCTGAAATTCCCCATCCACTAGTTAAGAGACTGGAATTTATCATTGGACAAGTCGAACCTTGAATAGAGGTGCAAACATGATCCGCAAGAGAGAATAGAAAAGACCCGACCTTGCCGGTTTGTAAAAGACATTGAAAGGAAGAACGAGAACTCCGATCCACACCTGCTTATGGAGCGAACCAGATTAGTGAAGGCAAAGACGGAATAGTTCTTACCAAAAGAGCTCCGAGCGGAACAAACTCACGAAACTTGTCTGACGTAGTGGGGATCGTATACAGAACAAGATAAAAAACCATGGCCGCAATCAAAAGCATTGTGATCAACGTGCTCAGAAGCAGCACGTCTTGATATTTAAGCTGCGACCGAGGTTCAAACTCGAAAATATATGCATAGTTGATCCTGGATTTTCTCCAAATGTAGATGTTGCAAGCATACACATACATGTGTAGCAAGAACAATACAAGTGTGCTGCCAAGTAGAACAAACGGAGTGTATCAGCATGTAAACGTTGCAAAGCTACCTGAACATTGGGAAGGCAATTTGGACGCTAGGAAACTTGTGGTTGTGTGGTAGTGTCAGGAGTAGAACGAACGTGACGATAAGGCTGCAAGAACAGCCCGTGAATAGCCCTGGAAAAGTTTGACAGGTGAGAAACAATAGCCACTGTATATATGCAGCTTTCCAACCAAGAACGAAGTTTAGATTCGAGGATGGTTGCCTCATCGGTTGCATACAGGCTAAAGCCTTCCTTCGATTTCCTTTTAGAAAATAGTCTGTAAACATGGACATCACTTGTTCCATCATTCGGAGTATCTGCAACCATGAACACAATTGCGTGAGTTACACCAGTTATAACTTATAATTTCCACACCTTATCAGAAGTTGAGAAATGCGACATATTAACAGCTCGCAGATATGTTTCTGACGCACATTTGCCTGTAACCTGGAAAAAACAAAGACCAAACGCAATTCAGGCACAACGAAGAAGACTTTGGCATAATAACCTTATCGTGTTTTTTCAGAATTTTGCCGAAAGCCATTCTGTTTAGTGCGCAATAATTCTTGAGATGGCCAAGGCTTCTATAAAACTCGATAAATCCAGCTCGCAAAAGCTTCGCCGCCTGAGCAGGATTTGTTCCCGCAAAGGCCTCACCGCCATCTGAAGGATGTAAAGTCCACGTCAAACCCATAAAAAGCACCTGAAAGACGTAACCTTTGGAGGATCCCTGATTTTCAAAGAGAAGCTCAAGCTGACTTTGTAGCTGTCGAGCATGAGAGACATACTCGTTCTCTTTATGCTTGTAGAAATAGTTAATGTTGTTGAGTTGAGAGTCCAGCTTCGCAAAAAACAGTCTCACATATTCCGCATCGGAGGAAGGTCCACGCAGCTCAGTCTCGTACACAACCTCGTCCTGCACATAAGTCCGAAGGCTTTTCTTGTGTACTACCTGGAACAAGAATTACAATCTCAGAAACAAAAGAACGAGTAAATAAATTACCATGAAATCGTTGCTTTCTTCGACCCAGCCGTCGGCAACCGATGAGTTTCCAAATAAACTCCTCAGCCTCGAGCCCTGACTAGGAGAACGCCACGACTCTCCAAACAGGCTCCCTAGCTCTTGAATCCTGTTTACTGTATCAACATCAATCTTTACCCTCGTGGCAGCTTGATGATCGTGCTTGACTTTCTTTAGATCTTTCTTGAGCTGCTTGTAGTTGAAATATGAATCGCGCCAATCTGGAACTCGATGCCATTCGAGGTGCTTCTGAAACTTCATTTGCGGCCCTCAGAGATGGGACACTAAAAATGGGAAAGAAGAAACGCGCCTTTACAGTGCCGTGCTTGGTTTTTATACTCGCTGACCACTAACAAAAATCCAAACTTAGGCGAGGAGCTTATGACGACAGCCTTACCTCAAATTTGGAAGTGGTGGCATCTCCATGCCACAACATCCTCTGATTTAGTCAAAAGCAGCAAATAGGAAGAAAAACTCAAACGATAGTCAAACCTTTGTTGTGGTACAGCAGATTCCTTCTCGGCCATTATCGACTAGAATCTCTGGCGGCCGAAGGTGCAGAAACAATCCCCGATCGGAGTGTATATGATTTCATTGTGCGCCAACGTCAGTTGGATAGTGGCGGTTGAAGCTTCGTACTCGAAATTCCCGATTCTAAGAAGACAAAGTATCGCATTCGCCGTCTTCAGGGTACAACGAATACACACGTCAGCTTCTGAAAAATCAAAAGTGTAATGGACCTTACTTCGATTGCATCAAGCCATGCACCAGCCATCAACGTCGAAGTCGTCAAGAGGAACCGGCCGGCGTGGCCCGTTGTCTTCATCACCCAACAGTTCTATGTCCGAATCGTCCGTGTCGTATTCCGCAGCTCCCTTCCTCTGATGGATCTGGTTGAACTTCTCTTCCTTGACACACATGCACATCGCGAAGAAACGCTCCTTGAAAACCAGCAGCGGGTGTCTCTCCCTCGGCCCCGTGTCGTAACTCTCCCGGAGAAACACCCACGGACGCGAGCCGGCGTGAGAGACGTAGAAGATAGGCTCGTTGCTGCGAAAGTACTCGAGATGACCCTCGGGCAGCCCCAAGTACTCTCCCAAACCATGGAAAGTGTGGAGCAAAATCCGCTTCTCGATGGTCAGGCTGAGAATCTCGTGATAAGTTGCCAGCGTCCGCTTCCTCTCGCTGGCCGAGCCGGGCACCACGTCTACAGCGTCGTCGTAAGGTGATGGAAACGGCGCTTCCTGGAGAGCATCGAAGTAGGCCTTGATCTCCTCTCGATCGACTTTGCCACCGTCAACTTCCACTGGTACTGGAAACTCGTAAGGATTTTTTATCCCAGCCTCGGCGATCCACCTCTCTCGAGCAGTGACCGCGAGCTCTGGATACCACTGCGAGAGCTCCAGGCAGCGAGCTCTCTTCGTCTCCACGGGGCGGAAGTACGTTGGATTGCTGTAGAAGATCTTGGTCTCGTAGTCGGCTGGAAATCCAAAGTACTTCGCCATCTTCGCCAGCTCCAGCACTGGAATCCTCCTGTTCTTCGCCAGCATGAGCAGCTTTGTCACGGATTCCACCGCCTCGGACCTCTGCTTCCTCTCCTTGAACGATTGATGCGCCTTCATCAGCTTCTTGGCAGCGCCCGTGAAGCGGAGCCACTTCGATCGATCCTCGCCGTGCGCGAACTCAAAAACGTAGGGGAAATTCCTCACGAAGTGCGTGACCCTGAGCTTCCCCAGGTAATCGCCGCGGTTCTTCTGGATATCCATCGCCAGCGCGGTCCAATCTGGCTGCGACAGCAGCGTGTTCTTCATCCGATCGGCAAATCGGAGTTTGGCCTCGCGCCTCACGATCCCGTCAAGGTACTGGTTGAATCGCGGCCGGGGCATCAGCACCCCCGGCGGCGCTGGCGCCATGACGGTGACGATCCTGGTGGCCCTGCTCGTCCAGCGGCGCTGGAGAGAGATCCTCTTGTGCGCATTGGCGTCGGAGTACCTGAGAAGAACGCATCCCCGCATTGCACATAAACCCTAAACCTCGTTCTGAGTGCTTTAGAGAAATATGCTTTTGTATATAAGTTTTTGTTTGCAATTTCTTTTATATTTAATCTAATTTTTTATTTGCTGAAGCAAACTTGTAAGAGTGAATATATTTAAAATATATTTGAATATTCTAAAATATTCTACCATCTAACTATTATTATTCATTTAGATTAATCTTATATTTATAATATTGGTTTGCTTAAGCATACCTATAGGATGGTAGTAGATATATATCTAGAATATATTTGAATATTTTAGAATATTTTACCATTTAACAGTTGTTATTCATTTAGATTAGTTTTCTATTTAAAAGTTATAAACATCTTTATAATTTATAAATTTTCTTAAACACTTTCTAGTATATTATTTTTTATTCTACCAGTTAATGGTTGATATGCAATAAGCTTAATCTTGTGTTTATAAATTATAAACATATTTATAATTATAAACTTTTATTTGATCAATTGGATTAACAAGTAAGAATAATATTACTATAAAGCAAACCAAACATTATTTATAAATATATTTATAATTTATAAACTTTCTTAAACACTTTTTAATATATTCTTTTTTATTCTACCATCTAATGGTTGATATACAATAAAATTAATCTTTTATTTATAAATTATAAACATGTTTATAATTATAAATTTTTATTTGATCAATTGAATTAATAATTTGCTATGTGTTATATATAACAATGCTTGGTTTACTTAATAGTAGTGTTATTCTTACTTATTAATTCAATTGATTAAATAAAATTTTATAATTATAAACTATGAGTGCATGGAATGTGGAAAGGGAATACAGAAAATGTGCATATCAATTAGCCCAAAAATCCTAATTTATACACACGAGCAAGTAGTCCAGATTAAAACTAATCTCACAGTTACAAAAATCCCACTATGCTAATATTAGTATATGGCATCGTAGCTGTACATTTAGACCTCACATCATCCCCTCTTTTCGGAATAATGGAAGACCATTAGAGTTCTTTTGTAGATGGGTCAGGATCTAGATGAATATTAAGAGGAGGCATTGGTGAATTTATAAGTGGTATCAGTTGTTCTTGATCTCTTTGTACAAAGAATTTCAATTGCTATACATATATAATTTTTGGAGGATTGGCTTGCTAAAGGTTATGTTGAACCTCATAAAACTTGCAGTTCAACTTGCTGTAACACCTGATATAATTCTTTCTACTGAGCAAGAAGCCCTTTAAATAAACCACATACAGTAAGATGGGGAAAACGGACTAACACTAACTTTACCACTTTGTACTCCATAGATGGATGATGATGGGAGTTGTAGTATTGTTGTTGTCCCACTTGTATATAGCTTAGGTGTTTGGCAAACTCTTACTCGTCAAATACTGATCCATAATTTAACATCGGCAACTCGTGGTAATTGCAAAGGTAAACCTAACTCTGTTGGTAATATTGGATTATGACAATATAAGAGTTTATATGGTGAAACACCAACAGAACTCTACACCCTTGTGATATATGCATACTGAAGAGATAGCAAATAACCATCCCAATCCAAATGTTAAAAGTTCATGTATTTCATAATCATCCTTTTGAATATCCGAATGAACCATTCTGCTAAACCGTTTATTTGTGGATAATAAACACTTGTGAAAGTGTGGCATATCCCCAAGCCTCAACCATAAATGCGAGATTATTATCTAAAAGAATCCACTTTGGATAATAATGTTAAAACATTACTCAATTGAGAAGGAAGTACCCAACAGTAGTTGCAAAGGCGCTAGCAAAAGCACCAACTTCCACCAAGTGAGTCAAGTAGTCAGAAGCAATAATAACATACTCATTGCCAATAATTGATCGTGGAAAATGTCCCATAAAATCAAACGCCACCAACTCAAACGGATGGGAAATTGCAATTGACTCCAATTGTCCTTCCGCAGCGCGAGGGGGAGTATTATGAGATTGGTACCAAATATAGTTATGCACATACCAGATAATATCATGTCACATCTTTGGCCAATAGAAAGACTTGTGTAGCTTCTTAGTCACACAACAATGTTTTATATACCCACATAGAATAGGAGAATCATAATAAACATAAAGAAACCGTGAAATAAATATTGAAGGCACTATCAACCGTAAATGATCATCAAGATCCATCTCACAAAATAAAGACGGTTGTGTTAAAGGTGATATTGAGAATGTAAATGCCAGATTGACAAGTCATTAGCAAGTGATACAAGATTCTCAAATCCATCTCAAAGTATTTGAATTCATAGCTCAATCTTTTGAGCCTCGCAAACCTTATTAAAAGGGGGGGTGAGTGTAGCGTATGTGATCATGGGATGAGATTTGAATATGTTGGTTCCCCTTGGCTCGGTAAGGGTTGTTAGTCAATAGTTAATGTTCTATTCAATGCGGAAATGGAGGTGTTGGTTCCCCTTGCCTCAATAGGGTTGTTAGTCATTAGTCAATGAGGACATTGACATCTAGGGGGGGCGGGGGGGAACGGGTGATCATAGGATGAGATTTGAATATACTGTCATCGTGGATCCTTAAAACCTTGGGGGATAAATAGAGATAAAATAGCCACTAAGGGCTCTCTCATTAACCAATTACCCCTTTTCCAATTGGCTTAAGGGGAGAAAGATAAGATCCGCTACACTTTTTCTGTCGTTGAGTAGTTTGGAGGGGGGTGGGTGATCATGGGATGAGATTTGAATATACTGTCATTGTGGATCCTTAAAACCTTGGGGGATAAATGGAGATAAAATAGCCATTAAGGGCTCTCTCATTAACCAATTACCCCTTTTCCAATTGGCTTAAGGGGAGAAAGATAAGATCCGCTACACTTTCTCTGTCGTGGAGTAGTTTGCCTCCGTTTGTTGTAATGTACGGTTTATATATGCAATGGGATGGCACTGACCAAGCACACTCGAGCTCTCTTGCATTAACAGACCTTCAAGACTAATATCAGAAGCATCCATGTGCAAAATGAAAGGTTAAGTGTAGCCAGAATATGCCAAAATTAAAGGAGTCGTCAATACCTCTTTAAAATCCATGAACACCCACTCACAGTCTGCAGACCAAATGAAAGATGACGTTGATGGCTTCAGCAACGCTCGCAATGGTGCAGTGCGATCAGAAAGATGATCCACAAAATGACCGAAATACTACCACTTTGCCCAAGAAGCATTGCACATCATTCACATACTTCGAAGTAGAGAACTTTACAACAACCACAAGTTTGTCAATATCAACTTGCAAACCCTCATGAGAAATACAGTACCCAAGATAAGTTGTGTCCTTGGACCCAAACACACACTTCGACCACTTTCACTTTAAACTAACGTTATGTAGCCAATCCAACACTTTACAAATATCACGAATGTGCTCCTCCTACATCCCCTCCGAGTGGATCAAGACATCATTAATGAAGTCAGTAGTCACCTCTGGCATATCGCAAAGAACCTCGTCCATCATCTGTTAGAAAGTTGTTAAAGCATTGTTCAAACCAAACAGCATCACCAAGAACTTGTACAAACCAAATGGTGTACAAAAGTAGTCTTAGGAATATCTTCTTCGACCATTGATACTTGTTAGTACCCAGAAGCAAGATCTAGTTTGGTGAACTAACGACTTCACCCCAGACAATACAGGAAATCAGTAGTGTGAGGAAAAGGGTACACATCTGGGATCGTCATTTCGTTTAATGGACGATAGTTGATGCAAAAACAAATACTCCCATCAAGCTTCATTACAAGATGAGGCCCAAGGACTCCATGATTTTTGAATAACACCCTTTTCCAATATTTTCTTGACATTTGCATGTAAAATCTTGATCTCTTTGGGTGATCGACAATGAATAAAAATATTGATTGGGAACTAGTTCCTACTAGGGACATCCCTAGTTGAAATTGAATGACATGTGGCAATCTTGGCTCCAGACGATAGGTCAAATTTAAAAAGATCAATATACTTCTTCATGAGCCGGTTAACTACTGCAACACAAAAACTATCAGAGGGATCGAAAAAGGGAAGAGTGAAATAAGACAAAAATATAAGAGGAAGTAATGGGGAAACAAAAGTAATATAATCAAATGTAAATAGAAAAACAAAGAAGTACGAAAGTGAGAGGAATAGAGGCAATATAAAAAAGTATGAGACAATGGGGAGAAGCCTCAAAGTCACACTTGGCATTATTGCATTATAACCAATCCATACCAAAAATGAGGTCAAAAACTTGACTCGGCACCACCCGCAATGACTACAACTCAAGCTTGAGATTGCCCATACGCATAGATAAATTTGCCTCATCCTATGCACATGTATATATACGACCGTTGCCATAAAGAATAAAAACTGACTTTGCCTCATAACATAAATGTAAATGGCAACATGTGGCAACAAATAGAGCAATAGAAGATAAACTCGAATTTGTACTAACCAACATGGAGAGAATAATAGAAGACCTCTTGTTATAAAAACAAGCTTGGAAAATAAACATTGGATGAACTGGTGTCAAATGAACCCTTTGATGATACTCTCAAAAGAAAGATAAAAAAGTCACTAACTTATTTGCGCAAGGTTTACTTGTTATTTATAAGACTCTTCCTTTTTTGGATGCATCTCAGTGTCTAGACCTTTCATTACAGTAGCATCAACATGACATTTTTGACACCAAGGTCTCCACCCAAGAAATGGAGGCTACTAATCCAAAAAACACTGACAATGTCGATAAGTGTAACTAACTTCATCACATGCCCAATAGCGAACATCACGGCCACGACCACGTCCTCATCCATGTCCTTGAACTTGAGTAGTAGTAGCATCAACCTCTATTAGAATAGAACCATCTCCTATAGGAAGTGGAGCTTAAAGATGTGTAACGAAAAGTGGAAAAAGTAACATCTCATAACATTGTGCCAAATGAAGGGTATCGTCAAGGGTGGCTGGAGCAAGTGCATGCACAAGTCTTACAAAATCTTGATGAAATGTTAGCCACAACATTCTTAGCTTGATCCACTCCAATATATTTGGCTCCACACGAAGTAAGAGGCTTTGGAAACGAACACTAAATTGCATCACCAACTTAAATGGTCCTTAACAAAGACAATGCAATTGTTGGAAAGCATCATCAAAATCATTGGTATATCTAAATGCGCATTTGAAAACATCCAAGAGTATACTCCAATCCCCACGAATAGCTACACTCAAACCATTATACGATTGCAGCATTATGTTTTAGAAACACGTGGGAAACTTATGCAAATGTTAAGCATCATCTCAAGAATGATATGTAGCAATCACTATGAAGTGATCAAACCAATATCCCCAAGATTCCCACTCCAACCGAATGCAAGGATTGGCACCAAGAGCAAAAGAAGTTGTACCATATGGCGTGAATGTTACCATCAATTGAATTTAGTTGTTCAATTGCAATCACATAATATCAAGCAATTGCACCAACTATTGCTCCAAAGTTAAAAGAGGAAGAGATTGTTATTCTACTATGAAGATGAATAAAAAGGAAAGAACAAAAGAAAAGAAATGAAAAAAAGTTAGAAAGAAAGGGAAATCTAGACAATGCAAAAGCTAAATTTAAATTAAAATCCTGAATGGAAAGAACAAAAGAAAGAAAATGGAAAAAACTAAATTTAGACAATGCAAAAGTTAGATCTAAATCAAAATCCCAAATCCAAACACTCTTTAGAGACAATCAAAAGTGCTCTCATCTCCATTAATATAAATGCATAGAATGTGGAAAAGGCATATAGAAAATATGCATATTAATTAGCCTAAAAACCATAGTTTATATACAGTCTGGATTGAAATCAATTTGACAGCTACCAAAATCCCATCATGCTAATATTAGTATATGGCATCATAGCCATACACTTAGACCTCACAAAACATGTTTATAATTTATAAACACAAGATTAATCTTATTGCATATCAATCATTAGATGGTAGAATAAGAAAGAATATACTATAAAGTGTTTAAGAAAGTTTATTAAATATAAACATGTTTATAAATTATAAATACAAAATTAATCTAAATGAATAACAAGTGTTAGATGGTAGATTATCCTAGAATATTGAAGTATATTTTAGATATATCCACTACCATCCCCTATAGATTTGCTTAAGCAAACCAAAAAATCCAATAAAAGTACCATATACAGAGAGAGAATAATAATAGAAAACTAAAAAACAAATGACAACTGGTGTAATGGTATCATAGTACCATTAAATCAACTTACGAAACAGCATTAATAATGTTTTTGTCCTTTATTGTTAAAACTTCATTTAGATTATAAAATGAAATCATAGTCCATTTCCATTTTACAACGAGTGTAATAGACATAATAAAATTCTCTTCAAATATGAGATTAGTAAAGTTTTGTTCATTCATCCTTATTTTGGTATTAGGATTTACATGTTCTATAATCTTTACTATTGCTCAAACTTTTGACCATTGTTGGGACCCTGTAAATATGCAAAAGTCTATGATGTGTAAATTAGATTATTACAACTCAAAACATAATGAAAATAAGGTAAATATTTTTATATATAATCAGGCAAATGAGAACGATTTCAAGGAGAAAACAAATCCAAATCCAATAATAGAAAGTGATGATTTCTCCATGGGTTATGAAACTTATCATGTAATAATTTTTACTGGTGCAGCAAAATATACCACTACAGGTTGGGGTGGTTGGTATATGTGGTCCTTCAGAGGTTGTTTTGAACATGCTAAACATACTGTTGAATTTCATGAATGTTCATAAGTTCTTAGTAAAATTTCTGGAAATGAATAGTAAATAATAATATTCCAAGGCAGGAAGTTAGTTTTGGATTTAATTGTCAAGATAAAGTCACTCTCATGCTCCAATACAAATCAATCCATCCCAGCTGCGGGAAAACTCGACTCCTCTCAAGAGCTTGATGTTTTTGCCACTTACACTGCCGCGTTTGGCATGGCATCGCTCAACACGATGCTGACAATCTTCACTGGGCAAGGATCATCCGTTGTAACCTCTCGGCCGAGTGGATCCATGGATTCCACATGTTGCGGTGCACGGATTGACAGTTGCCGTCACTGTGAGGCTCGGGATCTCACCAGAGCCAGCCTCGGGTCGAGGGACTTTTGGACGACTAGGGAGTACAGATTAATTCCACGACTGCCTTCTGGCGCTGTTCTTTAACTTCCGTGATTCTCCTGAGAAAGAAAACGTGAAGAGCGAGTTGGCTAAGTCATTGAGCAAACTTCTCTTTTCTACGTACGAGAGAAACTTGTAGAGGACGAGCTCTGAGCCGGAAGAACTCGACGACTTCTCAGCCACGGTGATTTTATCAACGGGAAGCTGCTGGATGTGCTGCTCGGGTGCTCCATTGGCAAGATGAGACCAAACGACAGTGAAGAGTTTTTGTCGTACTCCGTTTTTCCTTGCTTCTTTGGTTCAAAGCCTGCAAATCCCTAGATTAAGACACTTCGATATTCGTTCGTCTGGCTCCCGAACTCTGTGTGTCATTGCTTCTCCTTTGACTTGGTATAATCCCCAGTGTGTCCGGATGCGATACTAGCTCTGCTACTGCCGCATCCAAAGAGCCTTCTAACCATCAAAAAGCTGCGTACTCATCCAAATCTGCTGCCCAGCATAGTTTATGTATATTTGGGTTTGTTTTTGCAAGTTAGGGTTTGGAGCAATAGCTTTTCTATGGCGTTAGCAAACAACTGTAAATTAACTTTTATATAGCACTGAATTGAAGTAGAAGATGTTTTTTTGCTCATTAAAGCTCCCAGTTTGTTGTAAGAGGTTCCCTTTCTCCAGAGGATGTTCAATCCCATGTTTAGAGAGGAAGAAACTGCCCTGACATGAAAGTTGAAAACACTTAACATGAAATGGAATGAATAATTTGCTATGCATTAGCGTTATTCCTACTTATTAACTATAAACATGTTTATAATTTATAAACACAAGATTAATCTTATTGCATATCAACCATTAGATGGTAGAATAAAAACGAATATACTAAAAAGTGTTTAAGAAAGTTTATAAATTATAAATATAAAATTAATATAAATAAATAACAGCCATTAGATGGAAGAATATCCTAAAATATCCAAATATATTCTAAGTATATCCACTACCATAGGTTTGCTTAAGCAAACCAATAAGTAGAAATAACATTACTATTAAACAAATCAAATGCTACATGCAACATGTAGCAAATTATTGTTTATAGAATGTAAATTTTTAATGGTTGTATTCATTTTTATATTATCTCAAAATTATTTAATATAGCACGGGTTAGGTATATTCTTTTCAATAGTTTAAATTCCACTTTGCAATTTGAATGATTTAGATGTAATTTAAAAGTGAAATGCTATTACTATTTCCTCCAATATGACAGTTATAATTTTTCTTATTATCTATGCTGAAGTTATAATATTGTATACTATTATGGGATTTTGGTAGTTATTAAATTGATTTCAATATAAACCACTCATTTTTATAGCATCTTTGATCATTTTTAGAGAGTTGATGCCTTCAACTAGCTCAGTGAAAGATGGGAAAAATTCAAGGAGATAGTGAGTGAAAATCCACTTCCAATCACTTCGAAACTCCGGTTGAATCCATGAATTTCTGGCTCCTCGCTCCTAGCTCGTGCAGAGCGCTGCTCCATAAAACAAATTTAAAAATATTCCAGTAAACCGATGAAAGAATATTTGGCGAAAAGGTAGTATATCCGTTTGTTTTGTATAGGGTTTGTGATTGTAAAAAAGGAATCAAGAACTTCTCACGAGCAGAGCAGATTGAAGATGGTGGCGGTGGATGTTGAGCGGTATGTTGAGCTCAAGCGCATGATCGACGATTTGGCGATCGAGGCTGGTAACAATAGGAGGATCCGGGTGAAACAATACGATAGTTTCGACTTCGCGGACTATGATCACTGGGCCGAGACCAACAACAAGAGGGCGCTCAGGCCGGACTGCCATTACATGGAAGACGAGGTGGCGTTGGATCCTCCCCATGCCGACCGGATCACGCGGATGGTGGCCGTGGCGCTCCAGCAAGAGGAGGAAGAGAACAGGAGGCAACTGTCTAAGGAGGTGAACTACTTCACAAGGCAACTGGCGCTTCAGCAACAACAAGCCGGGCCGCCGAGCAAGAGAGCTCGCCACTGATCGTCGAATCATCCCCTTGAGGGACGAAAACAATCTTGTATCACAAGCATTAACAGAACTTGTGAACAAACCAAGCTCTTAGAAGCAAAAAACTTTTGTTGTTTGTACTTCATATACCTGGCAATGAAGAGATCTTTCCAGTTCTATGAGCTTTAATGGTGTTCCATCTCGGGGAATATGGCCGTGAGTCTTCCTATAGCTAATAAGCCCTAGCTAGAGCTACGTTACGAGCGAAGTAAACGATGCCCAAGGTATGCTGTATTATTTGTGCAAAGAAAGTGCTCCAGTGACCTTCGAGGGCTTGATCAAGAACATCAATACTCAATTGCTAAGATATACAGAGATTATGAAATGTGGAACATCAGTTAGGAATTATGGAAGAGAGGATCAATAACGCGGAGGACAGGTGAAGAGAGGAAAAAACGAATTTCTACTTCCTCTTCTCAACTTTGTGATTGAGAATAGCTTTCAATGTTCTCCTTTTCGTTGTATCTCATCGAATGCTTGTGTTCTCGCTCCCGCTTCACCGCTGCCCTTGCAAGTGAAAAACAACCAAACCATTGAAGTAACTGTTGTGTGCATCATGTTTTCTTCGAATCCAATTACTATTCTTACTCTCTCTGGTCCCAGTTGTGAGAACAAACATGAATTTAGAGACGAGTCATTTAAAATGAGTTCTTTCGAAGTGTGCTTATATAATATTATTTCTTGAGGCCTTGAGATCATCATTCTAGCACAAGAATTTTTATATATCAATGACTCCTAAACAACCCGCTCAATAAAGTCCACTTCTTGAGATTGTCATGAGACATGAGATTAGATATACTCCATCTTGACGGCTACGATGCGCACAACTATTGACAGCCGTTAGATGTCAACCATCAACAAAGACCAAGCTCCGCGGCCTGGCGTCCTCGCTGATAGTCACCACAAACATTGTAAGATCCCAGCAGCGTCATCCACGCAGCACACTCGGGCTCAAACGGCATGCTCTTGACCAGCTCTTCCGCCAGCGGCATCCATCCGGCCCTGCCAAGAACATCCACCAAGCACTGGTAATGCTGCGCGTCCGGGCAGCCACAGTAATCCTCCACCATCAAAGCAAACACGTACCTCCCCTCGGCCACCAGCCCGGCATGGCTACACGCGAACAAGATCGTGATGAAAGTTATGTGATCCGGCTCCACTCCTTCCAAGCACAGCTCGGACAAAAGGTTGAGAGCTTCCGCGGCGTGGCCATGGCGAGCGTAGGCCGCGATCATCGAGGACCAGCATATCACGTCCCTGTGGTCGCGCATCTCGTCGAAGAGCTTCCGGGCTTCCACCAGGCTGCCGCAGCTGGCGTACATGTTTACCAGCGCATTCCCCAGCGAGCCATGGATCTGGAACTTGGAGGAGATTGCTCTCGAGTGAACGAGCCTGCCCTGGACGAGATCCTTGGCTGCGCAGCAAGCGTCGGCGATGGCGACGAGAGTTATCTCGTTTGGCTTGACGCTGCTCTCGGCTCTCATCCTCGCGTAGATCTCCAGAGCTTGTCTCGCATCGCCGCTCTGAGAGTAGGCTGCGATGATCGCCGTCCAGGTGACCACGTCCCTGGCTTCCATTGCGTCGAACACCGCTCTCGCCTCGTCCAGGCAGCAGCACCTCCCATACATGGTTATCAGCGCGTTCCCGGTGGCAGCGTCCGGCATGAGCCCCGAGGAAACGAGCCGCTGGTGGATCTCCCTGCCTTGATCCAGAGCTCGCAGCCTCGAGCAAGCATCCAGCGCGGTGGTGAAAGTGATGCAGTCGGGCTGGACGTCCATCTTCCGGTAGAGCTCGAGAGCTTCCGCGGCACGGCCGTTCTGAGCGTACGCCGCCATGATCGAGTTCCACGACACCTCGCTTCTCTCGACGGTGTTGTCGAAGACGTCCCTGGCGGCGTCTAGATCTCCACACTTGCTGTACATGTGTACCAGCGCGTTTCTCACGACAACTTGGGCATCGTATCCAGCGTCAGCCACTCGGGCGTGGATGGCTTTGCCTTGTGCCAGATCCTGGAGAGCCGAGCAGGCAGTGAGAGCACTGAGGAAAGTGACCAAGTTGCGTTTCATACCTTCGGGTTCCATTCGATGGTAGAGCTGGAGAGCTCTCCTGTTCTGGCCCTGCTGCGTGAACGCCGAGATCATACAGTTCCACGAGAAGACCGTCTTGTTTTTCATGCTCTCGAAAACTCTCCATGCATCGTCGCAGCTCCGACACTTGCTGTACATCCCGATGAGCGCATTCCCCAGCGCGGCATCAATCTCAAGTCTCCCGGCTGCTTCGATGCTCCTGTGGATTTCTCGTCCCAGATCCAGGCTGCGCAAGCTCGCGCAGGCCTCCACAACGCCGAGGTACGTCACTTCGCTGGGCTCTAGCTTCTCCTCGTGGACCATTCGTCTGTAGAGCTCCACAGCCTGCCTGCTATGCCCGTTTCGGGCATATGCTCCAAGCATGGCGCTCCAAGTCACGACGTTCTTCGTGGCGATCCTGTCGAATTCTCTGCGTGCCTCCTCCGCGCTTCCACATCTGCCATACATGGTGATGAGAGCGCTGTGCAAGGAATCCGAGAAGAAGCCACTCTCTAGGACGTGAGAATGGAGAGACTTACCCGGTTTGAAGCTGCCCAGCTTGGAGCATGCGCCAAGAACAAGGAGGAAGACGACGCTGTTCTCCATCTTCACTCCCTGGTTGGACATCTCCCAGTAGAGCCGCACGACCTCCTTGCAATGCCCGTTCTTGGCATACGCGTTCATCATCAGGCCCCAGGAGAAGAGATTGCGGTGGAAGAGGGAATCGTCGAATACCTGGCGCGCGTCGCTGAGGCTGCCACACTTGCCATACATCTCCAGCAGGAGATTCGCGAGGAATGCGACCCTCTTCCCGCGGTAGAAGCTGCGAATGTGGCCGTGGACGCGCTTACCCTGTGAAAGCGCTCGCTCCTCGCCACAGCGGCGCAGGAGGTGGACGTAATCCGGCGATCGATGGGAGAGGCGCGTCGCGATCTCGGCGTCAAGATCGCTGCTCATCCAACCAAGAGCCCTAGAAATTTGAAGAACTTTAATTAATTTTTTCCACGGCCAAAACTTTCCATGGAAACAAGAGCGCTGCGAAAGCTCCAGCTATGGCAGCGCCAAAAACTCCTGCGAGAGGACTGCTTGCGTGAAGTCCTGTTAACCAGCAAGGAGCTTTTGGCGAATAGACCACGAATCCTCCGCAAGTGAGCACGAAGTTTGCAGCGATCAAGCCAGCGTGTAGTCCGATTGGAAGCGCCAAATTCCCGTTTGATCTGACGCGAGCACCCGCAAGAGCAACACCCATGAACCATAGTCCTGGTATTGCCGATGGTGACCTGAGATCAAAGGAGAACATATAGACCATGGAAAAAAGAGAATGAAAGCTACTTACCAGTGAACTATTGCAAACAAGAGGCTGGAGAGTAGTATGGCTTTCTGCTCGCCGAAATCGACCGAGATCTCTTCAAGCAGCCACGAGCGAAAGATAAGTTCCTCCACTGGTGCAATGACCACTCCCATTGCCAGTGCTTCGACTGTCAGCTTCGCTAGCTTTCCGATCGAAAGTACCGCCTGAGAGAATGAAGTCATTACCAGGAAGGAGGAGACGAGCTTCAAGTAGCGAAGCTGGGAAAGTAGGACGTAAAATAGACACACGACCCCACAACCGGCTGCTAAGCCAGCTCCAAAGAGATTGAGCTGCAAAAGAAAAAGCGTTAGAACATTTGTAGATAAAAGAGGTAGCTTACTCTCTTCAGCCTGAGGCCATATTGGTGTAATGGCTGATCGAAGCCACGAATTTTCTTCCCCCAGATTATAATCAAAAGAATCAGTGCTCCATAAAAACCAAAAACGCAAGCGCACTGCGCTACCCCTCCAGACGAGTGCGATGCCCACTCGGTCAAAAGAGTGGGGAGCAATGGTAGAAAAATTGGAGACCACAGAAGTAAAACCATTCCCGAAAATCCCAGGAGCCTGCAAACACAAAACTACGAACTCAAGCTTCAGCAGGAAAACTAAACCAAAGTACCTTCGATGCAACGGCATGGCAGCTATTTTGAAAAATACAAGCAGCCTCTCTGTTACATTCATAGCACCACGTAAACCACCCCAAAGAAGTGCAGCCTTTCCAATGACATTTAAAAACCCGGCCTTCTGACCAATATCCGCTAGCATCGATACCAACCTGTTGTTCAGTGTAACCAACACATTGCATTCAATAAAAAAGAAAGTAAGAAAATACCTTTCGTGGTCGACTTGGCCATCTTTGGTTGGAACCACGGGAGCAGCAATCGAAAAGGCCTTCTCCGCCATGCTGGTGACTATGTTATCCTTGTAGCAATCGTCGTCCCCATCGCCTTCTTGGTCGTCTCTTGATCCCGAACGAGAGCTACCACTGCTTGCGAACGCAGCGGTAGCACCCATAGCAGCAGCAGTCACAGCCCCGACAACATTTCCGCAAAGACCCTTCTCAATCTCCTCGCTTGCAGCCACCGGACTATCGCTAGTTGCTTCAGGTAGCGATTTCTCCTGCACTTTGATTTCTTCCTCCACTCGCTCGTTGTCGTTCTTTGTTGTGACAACCACGTACGAGTTGACGAGGGATGCCAGAATGACCCCGACTAGCACCCCGAAAGGAAGGACTTTCTGCAGAATGATAGTCCCCCGAAACGCCGACGCCACAGCATCAACGAGGCCTTCGGCCGAAAGAACCCGTCCAGAAGAGGTATCGACGTGACGTATTGCTGCTCTCGCGACCCCGGGAAGTTCCTCTTTCAAACCATCTATAACACCTGGAGAAGCTGATCCGAGCCTTCTTCGCACTTCCACCTTCATGGCTTCCAGAACTATATTTTCAGCTTGGGCCAAATGTTCCTCTGAAAAACCATCATTCCCGTCGGAACCTTTGGAGTCGTGCAAAACAAATCCCGAAATCTTCGTTTTCTTTAGTCTGGTGTGGACATCTTTCACCTCATCCACCTCTTCTAGTGTAGTTGTGCTCTTCGTAACTGCTGCCACGTTTGCTACTTCTGGTTTTTTATACTCGGACCTGGAGGAAGTCTCTAAAGGGAAGCTTGCTGACGACTGAAAGATCAGCTCCCCCTCCTTCAAGTTTCCTGATTTTGTTTCTGTATCACCCTTGCTGTTTCCTTGTGCCTGAGGCGCTTCGTTTCCATTCCCTCTTTCAATTTGATCGAGCATCCCTTCGAGTAATCCAAACACATTGTTGACAGCCATTTGCGTAGAATCATCAAAACCAGAAAATGCTTGAAATGCCTGTTGGACGTTGATGGACGAGTTTGTTTGCTGAGCGGCTGGAGTGTTTTCAGGATTCCGGCTTGATACATCTGTTTCTGGCTTTGGTGGATCGGACGTATTTTCATGCCGCTTTTGATTTTGGACTGCAGCTTCTGCATCTTTGTTCTCCTCAGTATCTCCTTTTTCGTCTGAAGCACTAGGCTGTTCTTGCTTTCCTCCTGGAAGAACTGCCGGTTCTGCGCCTTTTGTTGCATCAGATTCTGTGTTTCTCGTTGGATCGGATTCTTTTGTTGTCTCGGATTTGCCTTCTCCATCCGAGCCACCGGTTGGAGCAGGAGGGGTACTTTGCGTGTCCCCCTTCGGCAAAGTTGGAGCCGGCACGGAATCTCCAAAACCAACGAGCTTTAAACTTATACCGCGAGTTTGTACTGCAGCAGAGACAGCAGCAGCCATCTTTCCACGCACATCTTCAGGAACAGCATTTTGCAACGCTGTGATTACAGTCTCACCCCTTCCAACAGCATCCAATACCTGTCTTGACAAGAGCTTTAGCTAGAAAAAAACCGAGAAAAATTAAAAGAGAACCTGTTCTTTAATTTCGGGAGATAATGTTCCTGGCATTGCCATATCCAAAGCGCTGAAGACTGTTTGAGCAGCTTGTTTTGCTTGACCTTGCTCTGTCTCTTCATTCTGCTGACTTTCATTCTGCTGACTTTTCACTTCTGACACTTGAGATTCAGTCCCTTCTTTATGTTCAATCCCTTCAGTCCCTTCATTAGGTGCCCAGAAGTCTTCCTTTGACTCCAACGTTATGTACTCATTTCCTTCCTCGAGTAAACCTGTAGTCAAGTTCGTACTCCACCCTTTGGAAGGCTTTATTGCCAAATCTATTCCACGAAGTAACGGATGACGACCTTTCAGCAATGCTATCTCCACAGCAGCAAGCCACTGGATGGAAAAGAAAGATGATTAGAAGTCTTACGTATAAAGTAAGTTTACCTCTAACACTATTTTGAAGTTGTAGCCGTCGTTTGGCGAGTACAGTAGCGTCGTGAAAGGATTCTCTTCAAATGCATTTTGTGGAATGGACAACGGTGGAGCCGCAGTACTATCCTACATTCACAGAACAGTTGGCTACTTTGATAGTTACAACGTCAAAAGTGACACAAACCTGAATGCAGAGCAAAGGAGTTTGAATTCCATCGATAACATTACGACTGCTTGAACTCCTGTAATAGCTTTCCAAAGACTTAAATCCCCTTGCTGGGCACGAAACGGCAGCCTCGAACTCCCTTACAGACGTAGCTGCGAGACCACCAGTTATGTCCATGTTTGCTTGTCCTTGGAAAAGAAACTAGAAACCAGTATTGAAGCAAACAATCTTTCTTCTCATGAAGTACCTTGTTCGACTGTAGTATTTGAACGAGACCATCAGTCAGCTCCCTGTCAAGACCAGCAGCACGATTCCGCTTCATGTATTTCGTAGCCTCGTCCAGATCAAACGGGTTATTGATACAGACTGCCGCTGTAAGAGGTGTCAAGTTCTCCTCTCCAAGATATTTAGCCAGCATATTTGCACCGAAACCCCATCCAATTCCTAGGAACGTTGTCCACGGCCTGCACCGAGCAATATAGGACACTGCTGTGCGTACATCGTCACTGTCACCAGCAGAGAAAATCCTGCACGAAGAGACAGAAATATAGAAAAGAATGGTTGGACGTTAACTTCACAAACATACCTCGGTGTTGTAAGCGGCGAGTTTCCACATCCTCTGGGATTCAGAACCACAGAAAAGTATCCGCTTTGTAAGGCTTCTTGAGCGAAAATCTTGACCGCCTCGTCTTCGCTTCCTTTGAACGTCCCGGGAATGAGCAGCAAGGTGGTGTCGAGACCGTGATCACCGTCCAGATCGAGATAAGCCGGCCAGTCGAGAGCAAGACTTCCACCATCCTCAGTCCATATACATTTTCGTTGATACTCCAGCGTCTTCCTGCCATCCTTGTTGCCTTGCAAGCTTTCGCTTCGAACCGACACTACCTGGTGGCTCGAAAGTTCCATCTTCTCATAAGAGTCGTCTGGAGAACTCGAATCGAAAATGATCGACGGCCACCTTGCCACCACAAATCTGTTGAAAGGCGATGGATTGAGAGTGAGGAGCCAGTATTCCGACAGCTTGTTCGCTGGAATTTTTCTTTCTCCGCTGCTGCCTGGTTTGTTTGATTTGCTGCCAGCAATCGAAGTTCCAGCCACTGCTGTGAGAGCTATCGCCAGGAATCCCATCGCCGATGTGCTCGGCATTGCCATAAGGAACTCTTGCAAGCTGTTTAAGCTGCTCCTCACATCGAATTCCACCAGGGAGAAGATGTCCATCGGCCCAGCACTCATGCATGCCGTCTTGCGAAGAAGAAATCCCCTCGATAAAAGCTTGGATGCCAGAAATCTCCGATGAGCCCGAAATCCCTCATGGATTGGCACTGCCGACCACATTCCGATCGAAATATCCATCGCGAGTGGACGATAGATGTCAAATCCTACCACTGGCTGCTCAAGAACATTGAAATTGCCGGTGCCGCATGAGAATCCATGCCAGAAACAGGGGATAGATCCTCCAGGGCGCCATGAAGTACCTGAGAGTTAAGAGATA